CTCCCCCCCATATAAACGTTAACATAGTACCTGGATACCAATCAGTCTCTATTTTAATGATCTGTTAGGAATGCTTTTACCTTATTTACCTTGTTTTTATCTGGAAATAAGAAGTTAATATCACTGAAGTGGTTTCACTTTTAGAGACAACAGAGAAACAGGAAGATAAGGACAACTCTGCCATGAAGGTTTAGGGACTTAAAAGAAAAGAACAAGTGTATTAGGAGTACAGATACTTATACCCGATAAGGAGCAAAGAACACCTCTTTCCAACTACCTGACACATTAGCAGTACTAGAAAAGATGAAAAGGATTGAATCAGGAGTGTAGGTTGTAGCCATGTTGGTCAAAAGACATAGGCAGACAAGGTTCTTTGGGTGAATCTGATATCTTTTATTAGACCAACTTAAATAGTTGGGAAACAATTATTAAGCAAGCGTTCAGGTTCAAAAAGGATTGAATCAAGTGTTTAGTTCAAGGGTTTTTGTGAGGAATTCTGGATCCAATAAAATGCCCTTCTTTCAAATTGACGAAAACCCATATTACTATCTCATTGCAGTAACAAGGCTAACTACCTCTCTCTAGGGTCAGTATGCAAGGATATGCTGCGTATAAAGAGAAATTAAACTGATGTAATTTACCCCTTTCTCCCATCCTCTTGGTCCATGTGTTACATGAACTTAAAATTCCCGGGAAACTCTTTGAGAAGAATTAGCCCAGCCTTCCCAACAGATGCCAAAGTCCAACACATATAGCTATACAACTGATGTATCTGTTCTATACATTACTTAATTTTCTGGGACTAGCTTTGTGAAGGAATTTCAAGTTCTTCTTTTCTGGCACTTTCGTTGAGCAACCAGAAAGAGAGAACAGCTACCCATAGGAAGCCTAACAAAGAACAAGTTATTTTCTTTAACTTATACCTTTCCCTGGCTCTTCAATATGTGGGAAAAGGGGTGTTGTGTTTCCTTTTGCTCCTACCTAAGTGGGTGAAAGACTATTTATGGATGTCAAACCCTCACCTTGGATATCACTTCTGAATTTGAGCCAAAGTACAAAAGAAATCTAGCTTTGTCTTGTCTATGTTACAGGCCCTCCTGTATACTTCTAATTAATTAATAAGCATCCTACTCAAATCTTATTGTCAGACTGCATACTATTAAACATAGCACAAAGCTGGTGTTCTAATTAAAAAATAAAGGAAACAAAGCAGAGTATAAACAATATATTTTGACCAAACAGAATATGCAACCTTGGGTTGAACACTTTGTTAGGCTGCTGAAGTAAAATTTTTCCACAAAATAACAGCATAGAATCTGTAAAAATATATTCATGCCAGACTTTCAAACACCACGTAAGATTTGGAATGACTTCAAATTCATTAAAAGCTCCAAGCCTCACTAAATTGACAATGTATCCAGTTTTTACAGCTTACAGCTTGAAAAGTGCTTATGCATAAAACTCTAATTGAACAGCTTCAATCACAAATTATTTTAAAGTGAGTAAACATACTGAAGTGAGACAAAGTGAGCACATAGACTTCAACCTAATTATATAAGCTAAAAAAAATTCAAGTAAACAGAGCCAAACTGAGATTTAAAAAAACAAACAAACAAAGAAACAACCCCTTCTCCCAAGGAAAATGGAGCTAAAACATCCTCACTACAGTATTAGATATATTGAAACATCTTATGATATTAGCATAGATTTACAAACATGCTTATTAAGGCTACAAATTTAGAAGTTTAAAGGTAAATGCCAAAATGACTGAAAAAATGCATCATTCTGATGGTCCTAAAGTTTTGGAGAACTGAATTTTTAGACTTCAATTCTGGTGGCTTAGGGCTTAGAACAAAGTTCATCCAAACAGATGAAAGTACTCTCATTGTCTTCAGTGTACATGACATCAAGCTCAGGCACAGGAGATTGACAGCTCACAATTGTAAGCTTCACTAGGGATGCAACTGTTCATTCTGCATAGCCAAGTACTAAACATGGCATACAGGTGCATACGATCATGCAGATGTAGCATCTGGACACCCAGTTAGTCAGCCCATGTAAAAACATCACATCTACATTGTAAAAATATATGCACTTGTATTTGAAAAGCTGTCAGTCCTTCATTTACATGCTTTTGTGTAACCCCCTGCAACATTTTCTAATTCCACTCTTGCTGAATGCTGAGGTTTTTCTGATATCCCATATTCTGTACATTATTATCAGTCAGTTTTCTGCATAGGAAATTCAAGCCTAGGAAGGTATTTGAAAAGATGGAGGAAAAAAATATTTTCGAAAGCTTTAAATCTTGCTGAATTGCTGTGCTTGAATCTACATAGATGCTTTACTGATAGCACCAGGGTACAGTGGCAGTTTTCCAGAAAAGTATGCACCTAATACTTTATTGCTTACATACAATATAGCAGCATCATAGTTCAGAGTTAGTGATAAGACCAAACCACCATATCTGGATCCAGCTTTCAATGCAGACTTCCCCAAATTTGGGGTATTGAGATCTCGCGTTTTCGTTCAAATCCGTTAACTCTGTGAGACGCAAATATCCTTATAGCTATGATGCGGTCCAAACGAATTGAGACTAGTGTCAAATTGCATTATAATCAGCCTTTTCTCCCAAAAGCACATCTTAAATGCTTAAAGAATTTTACCTGTTAGATTTTATAGTTTTGGCAAGAGTTTGTAGTAAACTTGTGGGAGCAGAGGCTTGAGTACAGCCAGAATGTCATCTTGAGTTTGACCAATGTCTAAATTACACCACAGGAGAAAAAGCAGACTCAGATTACTATCACACTGATTTTCTTGTTTATATGAAGATGGCAAGGAAAAAGTAATAATTGTTCCATCTTGATTCTGTAATAACTTCCTGGGTTCTATTTTAATTCAGAGGTTTTCATTATTCCTTATAATAATCTAGGTTAAAGTTAGCTATTCGTATTACTAAACAGTTGAATGATTTTCAAGGCAGAGTCTTATCTCAACCTTAAAATGTCCCCTTTTTATAACTTTTCTTGGTGGGGTAGGGGAGGAAATGAAGACATTATTTTTGTTGACCCAATAATAAATCCTTAGGCAATTTCAATTAATATTCATAGAGAGACAGCATATTTACTCCCTGTCAAGTAGAGGTTACATGTCCTTGAAAACTCTCTCCTTGAAGGAGAAATTATACTGAGATGAAACCCTTATGCTCAAAATATATCAGTAAGTGTTTTTAATGGATGCTTAAAAGTATTTTTCCCACTATAATTCAACTGCAGGAACTTACCAACAACAGTGACATAGTAGAGTGCAATGAAAAAAATGCCAATCTCTAGCTGTTTCAGATGATGGCTTGAATATACAGATCGTAGCTGGCTGGTGCTCATCCATATTTAGTGCTGGGCACTTTGAAAATCCAGCATATTCATTCTTTTAAGAACTCGTTCATGTTTCCTATTTAGAAACTGAATTAAAAAAATACTCGTATAGTAAAATAATGGATGCAGTCTTTGTTACACTGGTTGTCTAAGAAAGGCATGTTCAGCAAATTCTTCTTTCATCTTTAAAGTGGCTGAATTACTTGCTCCAAAGACATGAACAGTTATCTCATGCTTAATCTCCCCAGCTGCTTGGCTAGTTAGCAGGTCTTTCATATCCAGTGGAGACATCCTAGATGGTTTCTCCTTAAACCGAGGCTTTAGTATTCAGTAAATCAGATGTTCTTTGCATTACACTAGTAACACACCTATATTTACCTACTGCACTATTGCCCTCCATACACATTCAAAAACCATATATCAGGACTCAAGAGACTGGCTTAAAAATAATGAAAGTAACATTTTTGTGGGGGGTAGAGTGTTTTGTCATTTTATTAGCTTCCTAAAAGGCTTTGGAACTTGGTCACATTTTCATTTTTTTTTCCTCTGCAGCCTTAAGAGATGATAACTTACCTCCTTTTTTGGAAAAGAAAAATGAAAGCCAAGCTTCTCAACCAAGTATAATTCTCCAGGAGTTGAGGCTTGAGGAAAATCATCAAGTAAACTTGCAACAGTTGGTGACAATATACTTCCATGACAAACCTTGCCTCATTTTTATTGATATAGCTTTAAATAAAAGGCATTTAAACATGGAGGAGAAAACGTTTCAGCTCATCTGGCAGTAGAAGTCCAGTTATTTTGTGATGTTGTTTATATCCAAAGCAGCTTCTAATGCACAGGCGGCATAACTGCATCAAAGACAAGGGCCCTGGGAAAAGATGCCACAAGACAAGTTATGCAAGTGATTGATCCTAGATCTGTTGCCACAGAACTGAAATGATGGCTGTGCATCAAGGTCAGCTTTTATGTAGTACATTCTATGCCAGTTCTACTTAAGGACAACATTTCCAAGCTCTCCTATTACTCAGACCCCTAGAAGCTCACAACCCTAGGAATTATTCCACCCTGGTAGGCAGAAGGTGGTAGGAACAAGTAGTTAATCAAAATAAGGGATGTAATTATTCAGCTACACAAATCTATTTATAAAATATATGGATATAAAACTGTGCAGTCATTTATAGCTGTCCAAAATGGGTATCACCCAACCAAACCAAAATTTTTCCCTTGCTCACGCTAGTGGTAACAATTTAAGTCACTGTGTACATGTAAATGAACATGCAAGATGTAAGGATGGAAAACTCAGTCCAAGAATATACAGACAACATGCGGTCTTTGAATCAGCCAGTCAGTCTCAATCATTATGCACCCATGATTAATAGTTTCATTATTTTCCTATGAGTTGTATAACAAATGTTAAGAACTTTAAGTTGTCTGAAAATAAGAGATGATTAATGTTTCCTTCAAAATCCTTTCCCACTGAGTGAGATTCAAGTTTGCAGTCCACTGCTTTCTCCAGAAGTATTTCCTAACTGTACAGCAGTGATAAACACAAAGCAAGAGAAAAACTATATAATCCCTTATTTAAAACTTTAAGATTAAATGGCGCCGTGCTGATAAAACAAGTCCTGTTAAGGAATCAATGTAGTTTATTTAAGTATAATAGCATAACATGCTCACTGGAGGGCTTATCCTTCTCATTAAGGATATAACATATTGAACTACAATTACAATTTTAATATTTAATCACACCGTGTGTTATTTGTATAGCTATCTGATAAAGCACAGCAGTAAGGAAAACTCCACAAAAGTTACAAGAGTAGACAAGGAACACAGACAAGCAGGGGAAGATAGAAAGTACTATTGTGGGACCGGTACAAGCAGTATAAGAGTAGAGCAGCTTTATGAGAGGTGTTTTAGAGAGCATAGGGGAATCAGAGATAATGTGGCCAGCTCAAAAAAAAGTCTTGGTTAAGATTTTAGAAAAGAAACTGTAAGATAAAAGAATTTGTGGGAACCAGAGAATTTCTCACTGGATTGTTAGTAACTGTGGGTAAGCAAGAGGAAAGTACCAATGGAAACAGCTGGTGCTAAAAAGACTGTGCAATAGACTGGCAGCTTTCAAAAGCAGCTGTTTTCTGAGTCCTTCCCACACTCTAACCACCACTTTCCCAACAGTTCTTCACAGCTGACTGGGCTCCCTTTCAGACTAGAGCCTTGTCAGTCAGCAGACAAGTGCCTCAAAAAAGCACTAAAGAAACTGATCAATACTCAGGGCTTGACAATCTACTCTCTTCTATTTTATGTTGCCCTTTATGCCTACGCAAGAGAAATGCAAGGCTTCCCAAGTCAGAACAGCAGCATTTTGAATTACTCTGCACAAGCTTTACAAACTACAAAAAGTGCGAAGTGGAGAATCCAGCTTACACATTAGGGCTTACTTCTGCTCCTACTTGAACTAATGGAACTGCAGTTGACTGAAACAAAGCTGGCCCATCACACTATAAAGTGGTCTTTGTGTTATTACCTTGAATGTGTTCACTTGCCTTTCAAGTGCTTAAAAATTCATAAAAATCCCAAAGCAGAAAGCTTTTACTCAACAACAGAAAAAAGAAACAGAAAAGGTTACTTAAAAAAAAAAAAATCAATCCCATTGCCCAGAGAATTGGATGAAGGAGCTCATTCTTGTAAGCCTGTGATTCAGCTTTGTTTCTTTATTTAGTTCTCTCTAGACCACATACAAGGCTGTTTTTATCACACGTGGCCACTAGCTGCTGCAGTAAACTACTGAATTAGGGACTGTGGGTTGAAACCTTGGCCAATTAGCCTAGGGTACCAAAATCCCCTAACTAGACCTTGCCCTTCCAATGCATTGGTAGCTGAAGCCTTCCAAAATGTGTCTAAGAAAGGGAAAGACAACAGGAGGAAAGCCACGTCTGATTCACCAGGTGCATCTATTGGAATAAAAGAAGCAACACAAGGTTGGAGAAATTAGTATAGCTCACCTGCTGCCATTGCTGGAAACCATGATGTTTGTTGAATGAATCTGAGTTAAGCCAGAATGAAGTAATGCTGCAGGAATGGAACTTCAGAGTTAAACAAGAGAATGGCATTAGCATGGCTTCGGCTGTATGAACCCAACAATTTAAAAATCAGCTGCCAGCAAACCTGAAACTTACTCAGGTAAAGGGATTTTGAAGATTTGGAAAACACTCCTCAACAGCAAAATGCTCTTCAGTTTTTTAATTACTGACTTCAATCACACATAAGTCAGAAATTCACTTAAAAGTATTAATTACTGTCCATCCCATGTAACAGTTCATCTGGCTCTGCAGCATGTGTGAGATAGTTTATCATCTCAGATAAATAGGACAAATGCAGCATGAGTCAGAAGCATAATGTAGAGAGGATTTGAGCTCTCTAACATTATAGCTTTGTGTACAACAGATTACATAGGAAATACAAATGGTTGCTGCATACAGTACCATGTGATTATTAACATTATGTATTAGATGCACACAGTCTGATTCCTTATTGCATCACTCCAGTTTTACATTGATATAACTACTGACCTCAGTACTCACACCAGCATAGAACTAGATTATTGTTGTAGTGGATCATGTTAACAACATCTTGTTTAATATAATGAAAGTTCAGGTTCAAAAGAGGGAGTCAAATGTTCCCCGAAGTCTAGCAGCCTGGCTTATATAGCTAAGAGTACACAAAAGGGTGGTGTGAGGAGCATCACATATGGCTGCCTTTGACTTCCCAGACTGAACAAACAAGACCCCATTTGCAGGTGGGTCAAAGTAGAGAAAGTCTTTGGCATGAGTCTGGAGAATTCACACTTACTCCTCTGGACTCCAGCAAGGTACCTTACCTATTCTTTTACTATATTCCTTCTGAAAGTCCAGGTTGCGATACTAAATATAGTTTCCTAACTTAATGAAAAAGCCTAAAACAATATATATTACAATAATAATTAACTGCATCAGCTAGAGAAAATTTTCCAATCTCTCCAGTAAACGGTAAATAACTTTCCCCCCAGAATTCATGAGGGTAATTTTGTAAAAAATTGGGGGGGGGGGGCTTGTAACCATGTGATTTACAGATAGATAGTAGCTGCCTTAAAAAAGTACAAATAAGATTTGGTCCTACTGATTGGATAGGTTGATTATGTAGTACATAAGTAGGACCTTAGAAGGTAGGACCTAGCATATATACTTGTTGCATTATCTCTTGAGGTGCATGTTAGAGCCTCCTACAAAAAAAGCAACACAAAAATTCATTTTAAAGACACATTTTTATATTTCTTACGGTTTGGGTCCAAAAAATAAAAACAAAAGTCAAGGAATAGAAAGTAGGTATTGCAGTCCACTTAACCTTTTTTTTTTTTTTATTATTGCATGCATTAAAACCATACCAACTGGATTGACACAGAGGTCTCCAGGGCAGTTTTTGGTCTCATATATCATACAGATAACATTATTTGAAGTTAATGAGTGCAGTTCTGCTCTCTAATAGCCAGACCCAATTCCTTTATTGATTGTTTTTGATGATCATCTCAAATTTGTTAACATGTTCTTTCTGGATTAAAACACTAGCCCTGTGCAACACAGATATGAAGGGACTGAAAGAATAATGGAAACATTGACCTCAGCGGATTTACACCTGCTCCCAAGAAGAATTCTGGCAATCAGAAAGAAGAAAGAACCCAAGTGATTTTTAAGTGTTCTCCTGTCTAATATGCCTTCTCCTAAGCTCATCTTTGTATGTACCTTATGGCAAGCTCCAGAAATCTGCCAGTTGCTGCTGCTGTAGATGCTTTGAACAAGTTCTGGAGGTCACAGGAGCCCGGGATCCCAATAAAGTATTATTGCAATACTCACAAATTATGGATATTGTGTCCATGTAGTTAGGGCAGAACTGAGCAATTATTGTCTGTTTTGCTTCATGATACAGAACACAGTCACTTGGAGAGTTGCTAACAGTGCCAGATAATAAAATAACACACCGTTTTTCAAAAGCTAACACAGGCCTCTCTGCATGTTTTAATTTTGAACAAAACAAATGTTAAAGAGCACCTTCTTTCTGCACAAATACTTGTGTTAAGGGACTGTTTGGTGGAACCAGCTCCACTGGCTTTTTGCCTTCCGCATTCCTCGCCCGAACATCTGCTCCAAAATCAATCAGCAAGTTCACCAGCTCAGCACTGGCATTCCTGGCAGCTGCATGGAGAGGGGAGTCCGTGCCTTTGCCATGATTTGCACTTGCTCCTGAGCAGTAAGATGCAACAAAGAATAAGACCATGTTAGTACATTTCCACTTCCTTAGCCACCTCCTATTTCTCTGACTGACATGCAGTAAGGAAGATGCCCAAGCTACCTACACAGAGACAAATGTCAAAATTTGGTAGTACGCTGTGGCTTTAACCCACTGTCAGTATTGGGCTGGAGTAAGGATGGCCTGGGAATCAATGAAAACCCCCAGAGTGATTTGCTCATATTCAGAAAGATATTTAAATACCAACAACCATTCAGGATATGGTTCAGAATATGGAGCATAGTATTTGAGGTAGACAAGCTGCCTCTAGGACTGCAGACACACTTCTGCTGTACCTTTTTATAGGTAACAGTTCAGACTGCTGGGTGCTGTAGAGTGGACCTAGGTTGCTACCCAAGTCCCAGCTCTCAGTCCCTATGTCCCACCTTTCTCACCTCCAATGGAATTGATACCATTGATCACGGTACTCCATTCTGCCAGTCTTTGCATGATATGTACACACAGGTCAAAGCCCACAGTTCAGCAACGTCCTTGGGCATATGTGCCTGACTTAGTAAAGCACTGGAACAGGTTACCCAGTAAGACGTGGAATTTCCAGTCTTGGAGGTTTTTAACACCTGGCTAAACAAAGCCTTGGCTGGGATGATATAGTTGGGAATGGTCCTGCTTTGAGAAGGGGGTTGGACTAGATGACCTCCTGAGATCCCTTCCAACCCTAATTTTCTATGACCCTAATTGATTCTATGATCCTACCTTTATGTACATCCAAGGGGACAAATCTTATTTAACATTTGTGTCTGATTGCTACTTATACATCCAGATGTAGTGGTATAAGTGATATGTTTAGCACTTGCACAGATTTCAGAACCTATTTCCACCTGCTCTGCTACATTTGCCTTTCTACAAATACTCAGAAGGCTCCCTGCATACCCACATAGGCATGTTACTGTGTATACCTGCACAAAAATGTGGTTGGAAAAAAAAACCTACAACTATTTGATAAAAGAGGATGAGGGCCCGCCCATAAGTTAGCCCAATAATCTAGGAAGCGGGGGATTCAGACACTGGGAACTCTTCACCCCTAGAGGGTTTGAACATGCAGCAAAACCCCTTAACTATCAGGCCAGTCAAAAATTAGGCTTTGCCTAGAGCACCTTCCTCTTAAAGCTGGCCCACAAGGGCCTAGAAGAAAGCAGCCCTGGGTTCTGGCATTTGTCTCCCCTACCAATAATAAAAAAGCTATGCCACTGCTGTCTATCAATTTTATCCAATGACTGTTAAATGCAAGACATAGAAAAGCCATTGGATTTTCTGTATTAAGAGTCACTGGTAAAATGAAGTACAGGATCATTGTATTAATTTCAGTGGGAAGGGTATGACTTAATCCTTTGGTAAACTTAGACAATCTCAGGTATTCTTCTGTTGCTCTATACAGCACTGCCATTGTAATCCCAATGTCTCAAAATACCATTATACAAGTGTTCCTAAACCTTAAATGAGAAGATGATATAAACAGAATTTACAGAGAATGGAAGAATATAATCTTTTTTGTTTGTTTGTTTTTACCTGACTCAAGTAACTTCTTGGCACAGTTTACCTGCCAGTTCTCACAAGCAATGTAAAGCGGAGTGCCCAGATGGTCAATGTTGTGGTCTATATTTACTCCATGAGATGCAAGGGATTCAATACAGTCAGCATAACCTTAAAACAGTATAAAAGTTGAATTAAAGTAAAGAAAGTAAATTGTGAACGCTCCAAATATTGTGGTTCAGATACTCAGTTAGCCAAGATTGGCTTGAATCCTTTGATTTGGCAAGGGACGCTAGATTCACATTTTTGCTATTGTCTTCTATCACTCCAATATTTTGATAATTTCAAAATATTTTTACTCAGTGAGTTTTGTTGGGAGGAAGGAATGTGGCAGCAGGCAGCACAATTTACACAGAAGTTGACTGTTGCCAGAAGATTACCATCTAAATAGCAATCTTTGCTAACTATGCTTTCCTGTCTCTAAAGTTCTCTTCAGCCCCATTCCCTTTTCAGGAGATTGGGAGGTTTGCCTGAAATTCCTTATCTGTGTCTCTCTCCAGTCCTGTCAGAGGAACAACCAGCACAGGGACTATTACCTTTTGGTGATAAGGAGCTTACACTTTATGTTTAGAACCCGTTTGCTTCTGTAGGATTTTCTCCCTTAGAATAGGTATAACATCTGCAAAGGAAGGTGTTTTTTTGTTGCATAGAAAAAGACTGGAAAACAGGAATGACCAAGCCACCCATTAACAGAAGACAGAAGTCCCTTGTAAGACAGTTCAGTTGTTTACCAGGGTCTGTTACTCCATACATAAATTGCAATATATATTTGTACTCCTTGGGTACATCTATACAAGACATTTGCTGCAGATTTGCCTAATTAGCTCCACCGTAAAATCTCAGCCTCTCCACGTGTGACCCTATTAGGCCACTGTACACTAATAAACACCACTGTAGGTTAGTACTTGTCAAACCAAGTACCATCCTACAGCAGTGTTATTTAGTGTGCCACAATGCACATGTAAATGCTGGCGGGGCTGGCTGGGGCACAAGGGTGCTTCAGTGTGGAGGATGCCTGCCAGCTAGCCCTGCACTGGAACACCCTTATGCCCCAGCCAGCCCCTCCACAGCATGTTGAGCCAGGCTAGAGCAGCCCCGGGCTGGGAGGCTGAACCCCTGGACTCCCTGGTAGCCGGGGCTGCTCCAACCCATCTCAACGTGCTGAGGTCCCAGGGACATGTGTAAACACAGGGCCTGGATGCAATAAACTCTGGACTGTGCCGGAGTTTATTCAATTGCATTAAAGCAGCTGTAGATACACCCCTTGGGCCCTTGTGTTAGTAGGAGTTATTGCCACATAATGTGAGTTCAGTACCTATTCTCAATATTTGGCAGCTGACATATGTTCACCATCATATAAGGACAAAATCACATCAAGCCTGTTTACCTATAAGGCCAAAATTGCATTAAAAATATGAGGTCTCACTTTATGAAGCATTTGCTATGAAACAGAAATAGTTGTGAACATTTGTGTTGATTTTTACTGTGTTCAGAAAATTCAGAAACTGGTTCTTCACAGAATTCTCCTTAGGCTTGCCAAGTTCCTTTATTTAGGAAAAGGGGAATTCAAGTTCAGTGCACTATCAATACTAAAACTTAATTTATTAAAATAGTAGGAGATGTAATAATAATGTCAGGCTATCAAATAAGAAGGCAGAAACAACAGAGGTGGCAAGATGCTTCCTTCATGATGAACAGTGACATTTCTGGGGTGAAGGAAAGTGTTACCAGATAAGGAAACACTTGCAACCTTTCTTCATTCAAATCAGAGGCCGTTTAGGCTTCAGGAGCGGTGTTTGATTTAGGACCTTCAACTGCAGTCCCTGCTGGTTTGAAGTCTTGAAATCTGGATTGTGTAGTAAAGGAAGTTAAAAGATACCACCTCACAAAGGAGCTTCAGGAGCTGAGTAGAGGCAGGGACTCTGAGTGGTTGCCATAGCTAAAGGCTTGTTTTTTTAGGAACTGAGATACTAGCACTGAGGATAAGTACTAGCCAGAACAAACTTATATTTTACACAAATTAAATATATGGAATGATCTCTTCTTTCTCCGGTTCCAACAACAAGGTATTATTAACATAAAAATTTACCCCTCTTAGCAGCTTCATGGATGGGTGATGCCACATCACAGGCTGCATGCGGGCTGGCTCCATGCTTCAATAAAAGGTCAAGGCATGCCACGCTGCCACTGATACAAGCATTGAACAAAGGGGTGTGCCAATCGATAGTGACTCCATTCACCTGAAAGAGAAATAGCAAGTGGTTCTTTCAAAAACATTAAGGATCGGGGAATATCTAGGGCTGGATGAAACTTTTCCATCAAAACTATTTTTCAACAGAAATTGGGTTTTCAATTAAGGTAATATTGTTGCCAGAATTGTCCATCCTGCCAGAAATTTCTAACTTCTCTTGAAATCTCCAACTTCTCTTGAAAAAACAAATCCCTGACAAACCACCACCACCATCCTTTTTTCTGAAAATCAGAAGAAAAATTGATTCAGTAATCCTATCAGGGTCCTGAAAGGGTTTTCTGGAGAGCAATGCATCTCTTTCTTCAGGTTCCCATGCTAAGCTACAACGCCCCATCTCACAGAATGCAATGTAGTCATGAACGTCCTTGATGCCTTATGTTGACTCGCCAAGGGCACAGATTGTGGTACTTAGCTCATGAAGGAAAATAACTGATTTAATTCTGGTCTTTGTTTTCATATTGTCTCCACTTTCTCCATCTTTTATCTTTTTCTTATCTTCTTCAAGCCTGATTCTGCAAAACTTAATATTTTGCATGTGAACTGATCCACTGACATCAGTAGGCTTAGGAACCTCTATAAAGCTACGCATGTGCCCAAATTTTTGCATGTTTGTGAGCTTTTTGATGGAGAAACTTTCTCCTCTTATATATGTCTAGAATAATATACCATGATAACTATAATAATGACAGTAGTCATTCACAACTGTACTTTTCAGTACTTTACTATGAACAGCTTTTTATGTCAAGTGCTTATACTTAAGCTAAGAACACCATATAAACTACCATTTTAAAATGTTTTATCATACTGCATTAGAAATTCAATTTTGTTGTAGTTTGGGCAGAAATCCACCTCAGCACACATGGTCCAGTAGGCTAACATGGTTAAGGCACTCAGTTTTCTGTAGCCAATTGCACACAGGGGAGAAATAAGCCATCACATTCAGGCATCCTCAACTCCACAGTGAGAATGATCATTTGCAACTATGTTAATAGGGTGATGTCCTTCAGTGTGAGAGAGAGAGCAACTCAGACACAGAATCATGCAGATATTTCATGTCACAAGCATGAAATATCTCTGTTCTTAAGTAAAAATAGTCCTTTTACTTTCTAACCAATTCTTTACATGTTTCCCTCTCAGTGACATCATGCAGATTTCTCAAAATACACTTAGAAATTAAAAACCTAGGGTTTTTTCCCATCGTTTATTAGACCAGCTCTTGTTGCACAGGAAGCTGGGTTTCACTGAAGTTCTTCTCAACATCTGCCTTGCACTTACTTGAGCCCCATGTTTTAATAGGACACTGGCACAAGCAGCATGGCCCCCTAGGCAGGCCTCATGGAGTGGAGATACACGATCTGCGGTAATGAGGTTAACACTGCTCCCCTGGTTAAATAATAAAAATTGTAATTAAAAAAAATGATACTAATCACTGCAGTATTTCATCAACATTTCCTGCAAATATGAGTCCAAGAGGGGATGAAGAAAGTAACAATGTTATTTATGAGAGACAGAAGGATTGTTGTGGGTAATATGTTTTATAGGACCAACTGCATGGTTGGGATAGCTTTAGACAGACAAGCTTTTGAATAGACAGTGCTTGTTCTTCAGAATGTGCTCTTAAATGTCTGTCTTTCTAAAACGCTTCTAATCATACAGTTATTCCAATAAAAGATATCACCCATAAAAATCCCTACCTCTTACACACTTCCTGGACCATTGCAGCTACAACATCACTCTAACACTAGCATGACATGGAGGATATTGAAATTTGCCTTTTATATACTTATTAGATTTACAGCTACCCTTTCCAACAAAGGCTCAGGGAAGCTTACTCTAAGAGACACAATAACTTATAAAAGCAAGCAGAATGTTAAAATAAAATATAAAACAAACTGCCTAAACAATATTCCAGCATATCCTTGCTTGTTAAAGGCCTGCCCAAATAGAAAGGTTGTACAGAACTTCTGGAAGATACCCAGGCTTGCATGCTGCTGGGCCTCAAGATGGAGGAGAATTCTAAAGCTGAAGAATGACTCCCCTCCCATGTGTTTTCACCAGGCAAACTTGGAGTAATGATCATATTTTCAGGAGGTTGCTCTCAGGGATCATGATGAAGCATAAAAAAGAAGGCGTTGCCTTAGGTGCATGGCGCCTGGTTTGGTTTGCGTAACCTCTGCATGTTGCAGACTTTCCTCCCCCTTCTGGCCCTACCTGGCACTAATGAACTATGGAAACCTTCAAGAAAAATAGTGTCCATTAGGACCACACGTGCATCACACTCTGGCACGGCATCTTTATGAAAGGGCATGTAAAGGGCTGCAAAATCCCAAGTGAAGTGAGGCATGCTTTCTGCCTAAGTTCCATCTGTTGTATTTCACTAAAAGGCAAACTTCTACCAATAAGAACATTTCCCTTTTTTTAAAAAAAGACATTATACTGGTTTTATTTTACATGTAGTGAAACACAGCTCACTAATACCTCGAGATTTAAAGAGAGAGGAATAAGGAAAATATATTTTAAACAAATTATTTGAACAATCTTGGCTCCTAGCCTTTATATAGTCAGCTCTGCATTATGACACCTTCCTTCAAGATTCAGGATGATATAGTCTCACACAAAAGGGAACTTTTTGAATTTTTACAGTTACTGTATTTGAAAATTCACCCAGAAAAAATCTGGAATTGTCTCAATTTTTTCCCAAGGAGCTTTAGGGAAACAAGGGCAAGTTTGGATGGAAAAGTGGCACAGACATCACAAACATTTTACCAGAAATCCTTCCATAAAACCGTCTCTGAAATGCTTTAAATTTAAGCTTTGGGAGTGTCCTTAATCTTTCTCAAGCCAACTTCTCCACAAGAGAGAAAGATAAATATAATCTAGAAAATAGAGGATTTTGAACCATCAGGGAAGTGAGATTCTGGACTCTGAATGGAGGCATAGGGGAAATGAAACCCATTTAGCCTTAAAATAGATGTACTGATGATATTAGGTGACATAACTGTTTGGGAGAGCCAGGAACTGCATTCTATGGCGTAAGTCCTAGGCTATATCTTATCTATGCCTTTATCCTGCAAACACTTACACACAAGCTGAACTTTAAACATAGGAATAGTCCAGAACCTGGTAATGAGGCTGCATATGCCAAAGTTAAGTGCAAACATAATTGCTTGAAGGATTGGGGTCTGAATGTATATGATCTGTTTTAAGACATGAGCTATCCATAATAATAAAGCTTATGTTACACGCAGGGTTCACTGCTAGTACAAAGCACTTTTCTAACCTCAGAGCCTGCATTCAATGGGAACACTGAGCAGAACAAGCAGAATACTTCACTGAATAGCAAAGCGCTACCTGATTGATGAGTTTCTTCAGAGCAAGGAGACGCCCATGGATAGAGGCATCATGTAAAGGAGACCATTCTGAAACAAAATCTGCGTAAAGAAAAAGTCAAGAAAAAGTTTGAGTTTCATGGAGTCTTTCACTGACTTAATTTATTAAATTAAGTTGGTGATTGCCTTCTTCTCCTGTGATCCTTAAGTATTTTCTAAGTTCCATTTTTAATACGTTGGTTGTGACACTCCTTTCCCTGCAACAACAGTGGTTCTGGCCAAAGCATTTTATGTCCTAAATCACCAACCTTGCTCTGTGCCAGCCTTTGAAAGAGAAGCTAGAGATAGAAGAGATTCTATAGAAAACAATTCATTTAGATGAGCTCTAAACAGCTAAGTTACTTTTAGAGGACAACAAGAGTATTTAGCCTGTCAGTTGCTGTAGATAGTTTCCAGAACCAAACTCATTACACTTTTACCAGCTAGGAACAAGAGAAAGATGTTTTGAAAAGGCTACAGCTGATAAATTAGCTATTGATAGCCGGAGAAGGGCTAGAATCAACACCACTTCATTGTGGATGGTGCCAAAGTTCTAGGAGGTAATTGTGTTACTTGTTGGCTTTGTAACTCAGGTTGAGGTGGTAGCTATTCTAGCAACAGGGACGTAGTTAAGCAACAGCTAGGTGCTCAGAACTGTGTAAACCACAAAATGAGGTTCAGCACGCAAGAAGAGATGCCAAGAAAGCATCTGTGTCAATATGTTGTTGTCTTACTTCAACATTTAATGGGAGGGTGAAAGTACTTTGCACTAGCATTAGCGGCCCTTGCAGGAAAGAGCGTTTGAAGGAAAAGATGCATCTTCTGCAAAAGGTTTGAACTGCCAAATTTCTCTCTGGCTTGCTCTGCTGGAGCTATATATATATCATGGGCTCATACATAGGGATAACTAACTAGTACTGGGGGCCCCTTAATTCTGCACCTTCCCTTTTCCAGCTCCAGCAGTGGGAAGGCAGCAGCGTTGTCAATGGTGTGCAGTGCAGGAGGAGAGGCCAGAAGATTGTTGCTACTGGAGGTCATGTCACTTCCTTCATACATGCTGAGTGGCCCAAAAACCATCAGTTTTCAGCAACATATGCCACTGTAGCTTCTCTGCCCTACCTGCTGCTGGGGCTGCTACAGGAAAGGTGTAGGGTGTAGGGAAGGTGGGGAGGAGGAGTGAGGATCCATTCCATTGTCCTCCTGCCCTTCAGCAGCACATGGGACTCATGTCCTGCTCATCCACCCATTTTTTATACTAGTGGATCATTAAATTCTTCCTAAGCCATTAGAGTCCAGACCTTCACAGGGATCTACACATGCATACTGAAATAAATGGGATTCTATGCAGGTGATTTTAGCCATCAGTTCCAGAGACTCAAGGTGTTTTTAAACTGATATTTAGACTGATGAGGCACACCAGTTGCACTGAGTATAAATATACAGACATTCGGACTCCTGTATTTACCCAAATCCAAGATGACTCTCAATTTAAGACAACACCCCAAAATTAAATTCTAGACACAGAAAATTTATAAATTTGTTTTGATTTTCCATGTCTAGAATCTAATTATTGGAGGGTGTGGCAGTCAGGAGGCAGGCCACAGGGGAGGTGAGGGTGGGAGGGTGGTATGGAAGGCAGTGGGGGAGGTAGTAAAAGGTAGATGGTGGGGGATACAGTACAGGGTCAGGCAGAGTGGGGAATGCAGTGGAAGAGTCGAGCAGCCCTGGCCCCTTGCCCCCCCATACCATGTCCCTGCTGTCTGTCCCCTACCCCCATGCCTCCATGCTATAGCACCTGCCCCACCTGCAAGGGGGCAGTGTCTGCTCCCCCTGGACACCTCTCCCCTTCCTACTTGCTTCCCCATGTTTACACCCACTGGCACCTACCTCCTAATGTCTATCCCACCCCCAAAACCTCTCCCCCTCTCCGCTGCCACTTACCCTCTGACTACAGCCTGTACTCAAATCAAAGACAAGGGGCTTTTTCCCCCATGTTAAATGGGGGGAAAACCTTGGTCCTGAATTTGAGTAAATACAGTATTTAGAGGGGAAAATGTTATCTAGTAATTTTGTCAGCATGGATCTGATAGGATATGAAATATTCAATTATACTGGAAAAAATATTGTGTCAAAATCATATGCATGACTTGGCAAGATTTATGGAGCTTGAACTGTTGGGGGGGTGTTTTTGAGAGAGAAAGAGAGCAATAAAGACTCACTTTGTATTTACCAAGCAAAAGAGCAATTAGATATGTTTTGTAAGACATGTCTGCCATGTCTATGTTGATCACCACAAAGAGCTGAGAAAATAGTTGCATTTCTGCTTAATCACCCTGGTTGCTATATTGCTTATTGATTTAAATATATGAGATTTGCCTCTCTTAATGATACAAACCTAACACGAAAGAGATAATGGTGCAGAGCCACCTGAAAGCACTGACTACAATGTCATATATCTTCATTAATGATTTAGATGATGGGTTTGAGTGCACACTTAGCAAATATACAGAGGCCACTAAATCGGGTGGAGTTGCTGATGCCCTGGAAGGCAAGGCTAAGAATGAGAATGGCTTGGATAACCTGAAAAATTGGTTTGTAATCAATCAGATGAGATTCAGTAAGGACAAATGCAATGTCCTGCACTTGGGATGGAATAATTGCTTGCACATATATAAACTAGGGAATGACTGGCCAGGCTGCAGTACTGCAGATCAGGACCTAGGGGTTACAATAGACCATAAACTGAATATGAGCCAACAGTGTGCTGTTGTTGCAAAAATAAAAACAATTAAAAATGTCCAACAATATATTGGGGTGTGTTTGATAACTGCAGCAGGTACATGAGGTCAGTAAATATTGGTTCTTGTAGACTTAGAGGGGGAAAATAAACTATTTTAAAGAAAAAAGGTTGTGGATTTCTCACAACAAGTGTTCTGCTAGCCATTACTCCTGTGGCCAGAAACACATTCTGTGGGGATCAGGGAGAGAATGGGGCAGGCAGCAAGGAGTGCTCTCAGGGAGCCCAGCCATGGGCCTCTGCCCCCTGAGCCAACACTCCTACACCAACATTGTCAGCAGTAACAGCTGCCTTCAGCCTGTGGAGAACCAGATAAGACTTCTGTCTCCCTCCCTTCCCTTCACCACTCCATCCTCTCCCCACTCCTATCTCTGATGGTCAACATATCCTGCCTCGGGTGCAGAAAGAGCTCATGACACTTTGCTGATCGCATCCACCATAGTATCTCAGTTTTTAGGCAGCTAGGACTCAAAATGGATAACAGTTCTTTCATACCTTATGACATATAATGAAAGATATTGAATTAGAAAAAGACTGAATGTACACACAGGGATTTTAAAGGTACATTTATCAAGTAAATCATGAAATGTAATACTCCAAGGGGTGGTATTATCTGAGAAAGCTTCAGCATGGTCCATTTTTAGAAGTTTTGCCAGCATAGCTATGCCAATTGATGATGTCATTTTTATTTCATTTGTTTATTTATTTTTGCTGACAGATATACCAACAAAAGACCTGGTATAGATGCAGTTCCAAAACCAAAAAAGCCTTTATGCTCAGATAGCTTACTTGGCTACATTGGCTAAGTGATTTATTTGCTATAAAATGTGTACACTAAGGGAACGTCCCCATGAGCACACATGTGAGGTTTGTTATGCCTCGAAGCAGTTTGAGGCACTGCAAACCACGCGTATGCACCCATTTGTTGCACTACCAGTTAGCAGCATGGCAATTCTTTTGACACAGGGAGATTCATAGAAGTTAGCACAAGATCACAGATCACAAGATCATCAGGTCCAGCCCGCCTGCTCTTAGGCAGGAAAGAAAAGACTGCTAGGGTCACATGACCCCATCAAAGTGCGCATCCAGTCGTCTTTTGAAGATCTCCAAGGTAGGCAATTGTACCACTTCTGGGGGAATCTATTCCAGACTCTGGACAGACAAACCATAAAGAAGCTTTCCCTTATGTCCAATCTGAAGTGATCTTACAGCAGTTTATGGTCATTATTCCTGGTCTTCCCCTGGGGTGCCTTGGTAAACAGATGCTCTCCCAGCCCCTGATGTTCTCTTCTTATAAACTTTTAGGCTCCCATCAAGTCCCCCCTAAGTCTTCTCTTCTCCAGGATAAACAGTCCCATGTCCTTCAGCCTCTCCTTGTATGGCCTGTCCTCCAGACCTCTAATCATTCGTGTGGCCCTCCTTTGGGCTCTTTCAAGCTTTTCCACATCCTTCTTGAAGTGTGACACCGAGCACTGGATGCAGTACTCCAGCTGGGGCCTCACCAATGCAGAGTAGAGCAGGAGGATGACATCCTTAGTTTTTCTTGAGGTGCATTGGTTGATGCATGCCAGTGGGTTGTTCATTCTGCCGGCTATAGCATTGCATTGGTAGTTCATATCCTGTGTCAAAAATACCCAGTGCTGAAAAAGTCAGTGCGGTGCATGTACCAGCAGCATGCACCACCAGAAAGGGTGGCTGGCCAGCCAGAACCATGCTCTGGCCGCTGGCAAGGCTCCAAGCAGCTGGATTGCTGCTGCTGCTATTGCCGCCCCAGGAGGCCCTTAGGACTCCAGGTAAGGCCCCTAGGGCCAGCTCAGATGCTGGCCCCAGCCTCTCCTACTCCACCGGAGACAACTTGCCCCACATCAACCCCGCATGGAGGGGCATGCGCTGTGGCAAAAAGCAGCGACACAAAGTTGTGATGCTGCTGTTTTTGCGGTGGCGACCACCTGCCCCTGCATGTGGGAACACGCCATAGGAGGCTTTCCTAATAAAGCTATAATCAGCCAATCTCATCAGTTTTAAGCACAGTCAGGGAATTACGATTTTGTTTTTTTCTGAACCATCAAAGGGGACAAATTCGATGCATGTTTTTAAAGCATTTTACTTCATCCCAGCCCCTGAAACCTCTGGACACTTCTGGCAAGTAGATTAAAAGAAGTAATAGTGACACCAACCTGAAAATAATAACCTAAATAGGCCTCTTGGGGCCTAGTTTGTGACGCAGATAAAGTAATTCAAAAGAATTTGAGAGGGCAGTTAAGCCCCTGTAAGTCTCTGGTGACAGTGGTTCAGCAGTACTTTTCCAGAGATTGTTAGACCACAGGAATGTCAATGGAGGGGTCCCGATGGAACGGAAACAATGTTCTCCCAACCTAAACAGCTCAAAGCTGGTTTGAGGCCAGGGTAAAAGCTTTTACCTGGCATGCATGTAGGCAGAAAAGTGTGAACTAGCTGCTGAAAGTGGAATGAGGCCCTTATCGCAGGGATTCATATCAGAGACAAGCAGACAAATGGGAGGTTTCGAATTTTCACTAAGCGGAGCATTTCTTTATCTCTTGTGATGACTCTGAAATCATCTTAGTAAAGAGGCAAAAGAATAGAAAGGAAGATGAAAACAATAATTCAAAGCCACAGAAGGATTTATTCCTTCAGGTGTGAGGTCTGTAGGGGTCTCATGAAAATCAGTCAGCTGAATCCCAATAAATCCTCATTTATTATAATCAGCGCATGGGGCAGGTGGAGCAATTACTGAGATAGTTCTGCCTGGGAAAAAAAATGTGTTCTGTGGTAGTTTTAAATTATCTTTTAATTTGATCATTTCTGAAGCACCTGCTTGTTGTTGCAAGAGATACGCTGTGTGTCAAGTGTCCAGAATTAAAGGTCATGAACCTCAAATTGTTACAGAAGAATGAAAACATACAGGGCCAAATTCATACATAGCATAACTCCAGGACAGAATTTGCAACGTTCCAATATCAAGACACACACCAGGAATCAACTGCACATTCATTTTCAAAGGGTACGTGTCATAGATGAACAGTTTTGAAATCTATTCCTGCTTCTGAACAAATCTGCATCACTGCGCATTTCCCCCTTTTATTCCAGATGCTAGACACCTGTCATCCATTTTGTCAAACTCCACCTCCAAACCTTATTTATTTTTGTTCTTAATTCAATGGTGTCATTATCTTCCTGTCTCCCACAACACGACATAGCTATCTAAAGTAATCGCTACGTGACAATTTGCCTTGTCCTCCATTTCATATTTGAATAACACTTTTTCCCTTAGTAATGAGTTGAAGGTCCCGAGAGAGGTCTCGGGGAAGGAGAGGAATGCAGCAAAACCATTCTCTCTTGATTTATCCGCCCCCACTGTGCTGACCATGGACTGAAAACATAGCTTCCCAGAGAACAGAGAAGTGAAACGCTGCTAATTAAGCTGCATGCAAAATGAAGGCATTTGTCTTTTGACACAGTGTCATATTTTCAGACATTTTGGCCCAGACTGGAAGAGTAATGAGCAGAATGAGGACACCTGGAACCAGTGCTCCCCAGTAACAGCCCAACATTCAGAATCTGAGCCCTTTGGGAATGACTCGTGACAGCCTTCGGCAGGCAAGAAAAGGGAAAAGGAAAAGGAAAAGGAAAAGAAAGAAAAGAAGCCACCACAAAACTTACAGCTGGCAGTAACATAAGCCAAACATGCCTACACAGTAACTCCTTGGTAACTTATTATTAATGGTAATATTTCTGATCCTTTACACAGATTCCTAAGAGCCAAACACTGATTTTTATGAAGTGCCTAAAAACATTAAAAGTATTAATCATGCCTAAAAGAAATGCATTTGAAAAGTAGCTGCATGTACGTGGGGTTTGCATCAGCAGCACAGTATGTAAACCAGACACCAGGAGGACAAACTGCTGTCACTTTGAAAATGCACTCTCCATGGCCCTTCCACCCTCACTGGGGGAGTAGATCAGGCAGAGAAATATAACTTACCACTCATCAGCGGATTTGATAGAGAAGATGCATGTGGCTGGCCTTCCACTCCCAGGGATTTGCTGGCATTTCCATGTACTCTCTCATTATCCATTGCACCCTAAGCAGTCTAGTTTCTGTTATTTCTCTTCAAGGTTGGTCATGGGAGTTCAAATTCCATCTTCCCTGATGAAACTCCTAGTTATGGGAGTAATCCATTAAGCAGACTCTTGTGTGTGTCCAAGTCAAGCAGACTGCAGCCGAGTGGAACGTGGCGTTGGCAGCCGTTCATACAGAAATTCGAGTACCTGTGCTTGGATTTAACGAAACACCTCCTCATTTACTTGGTGGACAGGCAGAGAACAGACAGACCACACTGCAAAAAAGCAAGGGATGTGTCTGATGTCATATCCTTTCAAAAGCCACGCCCAATCAGTAAGTCTGCCTTCTGTTTTTATCAGGCAGGAAATTCTTAGTTTGCCAAAAAAAACAAGACAGAAAGAGCCAGTTCAGCTAGTTAAGCAAACTGCCTTCAGGGGGGATTTGTAAAGATAACTTCGAAAAGTAAGTGGTGTTTGCTGTTTTTCACTACTAAGATAGAATTGCTTTGAGACAACACCCTTTTCACATATACTATGTCTCTGTGAATATGGTGTAGCACATAAAAACCCTGACAGCACCAAAAAATCTCATGACAGCATGAAAAAACAACAGTGGGGAGGGCTCTTTTTACACAGCACTAGTCACTACATACCATGAGAATATTGAAACCACATGTTCACTGAGCTATACTTCCCACTAGAAGTCTTTTCTTGTCTCTATAGCATGAAAAGCATGCTCTTCTATAGGCTTATTAAGTGGCATTGATTTCAGTCAACTTCACCAAATCATGTTGCACCAATATTTTAAAACTGGTTTTTCACCTAAACTAAAAACCATGAACTCCAGGAAAGTAAACACAGACATGTTTTTCAAAAGGACCTCAACCTAGAATAACTTTGTATGTAAACAGATCATTTCTCCATTTGCTATTTGGTCTCAAATTCTATCATCTACAGGCACAAAGTTCGTTTGTTCTTAATGAATATGCAGATGTAACCATTTTTATTCACAGCCAACCATACAAGAACTTCATGAAAAAGTGTCATGCACTCAAACAGAAGTTGCATATTTTACACCTGCCCACCAAGGTGAAATTCTTATCACCTTCCCCAAATCTTCATAGGTTAACTTTATTTCTATTTGTAACATATATAAAAAAGAACGAGTAATGACTTCTAAGTGTCTTTGCCATGACTGGAAAATATAGTCCCATTAAAAGATAAAACCAGCAGCTGTGCCTCACCCCCACACTAATGGGAAGCATAGAGTAAATTAAACATCACCTGGCATTTCCAGAGCTCCCTCTGCCAAGCTGCTTTCTGTGAAGCCGCTACCCATATAGTGGGCACACAGACTTTTAAGGTCCTCTCCATCTCTAAGATGAATTCTGCCACTGTTCCTGTTCCAGTTTCTCTGCCACACACCCTGATCCTGGCATCCTTATCAGTTATGCCTTCTGGAAATGAGACAACACCTTTCAGCTGCCCTAGAACCCCATAACTAATGCTGCCTCTTCCTGTGCTTTCAGCCCAAGGTATAGCTTAAGTAAGTACACCCTTTCCAAGAGCTTGACCCTTTTAGCCACTCTGATTTACGGTTTGGAGTATATGTGATAGTTGAAGCAAATAGGCATAGATTTATAAAAGGGGTTCTAAATCAGTCAGCCTTTATTTTAGACAACACAAGAAGTACCCAGATACAGACAAAATAGTAAATGCCCCGTGTCATTCCTTGGGCCCAAACACCATCACCACTTTTGATCATTTTTAAAGGATTTTTTTAGGGTGGATCAATGACTTTTCAAAGTTCCAGGAACATTCTCTGGAACTCCACTCTTCCAGGCTAAGCATCACTTCTAAATTACAGAGTTGTCTTTTAGACCTCTGCATCAAGCTTTGTTTCCTATTAGATGGTGCTTAAGTCAACAGGCCTTCTAGCACTCAAGAAAACTGCCCTCCAGTTTTCTCTGTGAATTACTCTTTTTGTTCCCTTTTGGGAATTTTTGCAAAATCCTGAAGAATCCTTATTTTGTGTAGACAAACCAGGTAATATTGTTTTCAGCTAGGAAGCAGCCATCTTTTAGTTTTTTTCAAGGAGCACCAATTCTTGTGTTGATGGGTCTTTATTGACCATTCTATTCAGAGACAGACATTCAGATGCCCCTTTCTGTCTCCTTAGCATAATGGCAAGAATTACAGTAAAGATACTTATAAAACATCAAGCATGAAGGCCCCTCATAATTAGGGTGACCATATGTCCTGGACTGGCCAGGACAGTCCCAGATTTCAGAGTCTGTTTCAGCATCCCAGCCATTGGATAAAATTGAAGCAAAAATCCTGGAACCCACCCTCACATGCAGCTCCTCAGTCAGGAGCCGGGCACATGGGCTAGGGACAAACATTACACATAAACCAGTTTAAGTGATCAGAATTCAGAAACTAATTTAAACCTGTAACAGAACAGAGGTTCAGTGCATATAAACCAGTTTGAAAATGGCTGAAACCAGTTTGAGATAAACCTGGTTGAATGTATCAGACTTAACTGATTTGGGTCAAACTGGTTTATTCAGTGTCTGTTCCAGACCCCTGGCTGGTTTAAGTTAAACCAGACTCCCCCAGCATCCCAGCATGCTCTGTGGGCCGGGCAGGGCTCTCTCCTCCACAGCAGGGCTGGCTCCTCCCCTCTGCTCCCTGGCTGGAGCTTGGCAGACTGCAGGCTGCTCCGCCCTCCCTCCCCCCCACTTCCTGCTAAGCAGGAATTCTCCCCTCCCCTCTGTCTTTCTGAGTGGGGTCTGGGTATTAGCTAGCAGACCACATGCTGTCTACGGTCCCTGTTGTGGCAGATGAGACAAAGGTGGAATCAACAGCTAGCTGGTAATGTCCCTCTGTTGTTTTCTTAAGGGGGTGATAAACACTGAGTTAGGGGTGATGAACACTGCGTTATCAATTCCCTGCTGGGCTGTTTGCGGGGGGGGGAGACCCCCTCCCTAATCAGAGTGTCCTGGGCCTTGCCCCCCTCAGCTCAGCCCTGTTGAAGGGAAGGGAGAGCTGCTCTAGTGCCCCCCCCCAGCTTCTAGCCTGAGCCACTGAAGGCATGTGCCTGCATGTCTGGGATATCTGTGTAGTTACAAACTGATTTAGCCTAGCCAGGTTAGACTAACCTGCAAAGATTGAATCAATTCAGGCTTAGGTTTTTTGAATGTCTGTCTCTAGCCATACAGGCAGGTTTCTGCCAACCCAGGACTTTTGCTTCAGTTTTCTCCAGTGAGCCCAGCCAATGGACTGGTTCCTGGTTTGGACCCTGCTGGGCTGCAAGCAGGGTTGGGAGAGGGGTGCACAGGGAGCCACAAGGTCAAGAGTGTGTGTGTGTGTGTGTGTGTGTGTGTGTGTGTGTGTGTGTGTGTGTGTGTGTACGCACCATGGTGTCCTGCCCAGTCCTGCTCCTGGGAGCCGCTGGGGGAGGGAGGTGCACCCCCTGGAGCCACCCACCACTCCCTCATCCTAGGTTTCCCGCAAATTATTATGGTCACCCTATTCATAATCCCAAACAGAATTTTAGGCAGATTGTCTTAATTCTTCCTCTATGACAACCTTTATCATCCTTAAAAGCCATGTTAAAGTGGTTCCCCAGTTTCTCTGTCTCCAGTCAGATTTTATAGTGGTGGTTTTTAGACTTCAACTTTTCTAAAAGATGTTTTTGCAATCCTTATTCACAGTGACTAGTACCTTACTCCCTAAGTAGCCTCAAACCATAGTATTCCTGTTTTCTGGCTGTCACTAGGTCCTTGGTACCCACATTTTAATCATCCTTTTTTGAACATTTTTTACTGCACAGCTGCAGTTGGCTAGTTGCCTCTCCCCATTTGTACTTGTGCATGCCATGCATTCCCCTCAGAGGGCTGTATTTGCTTGCACAGGTCTCATTTCACAAGAATTTTTGGTATCAAGTATAATACCAAAGGTTTTTTTTGTTTGCTTGTTTGTTTTTTATGGAAAAAATTTTGTCCCCCCAAGTCAAATCAGCTAAATCAATTCCAAATCCATGAGTCATTCAAGAACCATATGTGGCCCTGCTACCAGCAAACATCCTCCACCCCCACCTGGGACTTCAGATGCTTCCAAATCCTTTGACAGACATCCTACATACAAACCCAAGCCTGGAGGGTTGGGGTTCAGATGCCCCCAGGTTTCACTTGCCCACAACCATATGGCCACACAAGCAAGCTAGGGAGGAGTGTCCCATTCCATAAAGTTGGCATATAGTAGGCTAACTATGCATTACTTTGGTTAGGGTACTAGCCCCTGCCAAGAAAGTGGTTTTCCCTGCAACTAGGAAAATCACCTTAGTAATCATGGTATTTCCTCTGACAGGTAAGTATGATTGATCATGGTGTCTCCCCTGCCAGATAAGCATATTACCAAGGGTAATGCAGTAAATTGTTCACAAGTATAAGAGGTCCAGCTGTCCTGACTTAAATTCTGCAGCCTGAGTCTGGGGGTTATGGGGTAGCAGGTTGGAAAGCTGAACAAATAATTTAGAGCAATTGGGAGTCAGTTGCAAAAGGGAAACAAAATGTTTCTTTTTACCGGTAGAAAATGTGTGTTCCTTCCTCTTCACTGTTTGCACGCCTCTCCTTCAAAAGGCATAAGTGCCCAACAAAGTGGTGTATGGGATAGTAAGGTGTGTTCTAACAGCATTCACGTTCTACTGAGGGAAGGTGTTGTCTTTATACCTGAGGCAGATGTGTAATTGGCTACAGAAAATATATATCGAACTAGGGTCACCCATCTATCTGTGGCTGTGTCTGATGAGTATGTGCATAGCTAAGTCCAAGAGAAAAAAAAATAGTATCTTTACACATGCGCACGCATGCATGCATGCACAATAATTCAAGATTAATTCAAGCTAAGGTTAATGGAATCCTAGAATCCACACCAAGTTTCTTGTCAAATGCCGAGAATGTAAGGGAGAAATTCTTGTTAGTTTAACAAAAGTGGTTGCAAATCCTTTCTGATGGAAAAATCTCAAGCTCTACTAAGAGAGCAGCATGCTTCTATGTAAACAAAGGACTTAGCATAAATACCACAGCTCTTCATGTCTAGACAAACAGCAGAGCTTCTACACGCACGTGTACCAGGGCTTTTAAGCAGTATAATACTGTTTTCCATTTACATAACACCATGCTAAGGCATTCTACAGTTTTCTGTAAACTTTGCTATCTACAGAAATCACTTCTTTCACCACCACCACCTAAATACAGCTGTCAAGTGCAGCTGAGCAAATTACTATCAAAC